CATACATCTGGCTAGAACGCAGGCAGAGAGCACATTTTTCTCTCAATCTAGGATCTCGGCACTCAGTTCCAGACCAATATCCCCTTGCTTACTAGACATCTGTTCTCAGAGTTCTCAACCTCACCTTGTCCTCAGACTCTGCTGTCGACATCATCATCCTCCGTCCAACACAGCGCTCTCTGCTTCACATCACAGCTCCTGTCTCTGTCAGTCAGAAGCCTACAGAAATTCTTGACCCTTCCTTTCACATCACCCTATAATATGGTATCTACCAGCAGTCTGATTCCCAGATCCTCTCCTGTCTCTCCGTGCTCACCACCTAGGAAAACCATTGGTGCCCATGATCTGTGGTGTCTACATTTGTCTAACTTCTTTATCCTCTCCCTTTAATCTGTTCCCCAACCTATAGTTATGTCTCCTTAAAGCTCACATTTAGCCACATCTTTTACCTAAAGCCACTGTATCCCTTCTTTTGCTCTGAGACTGAAGACAGAGCCTCCTGACGGTATATGATGCTGAGAGCTCCACCTCTAACTTGCATCTCCTGTCCAGCACGTCACATTCCTTACTTCCTGTTCTGGCTATGCTGGTCTTCTCTTAGGAACCGAGGCATACTGCTTCTTCCTCCACAGAGCTTTTGCTTGTGCAGATCTGTTGAGAGGTATCTGTTGAGAGTCCTGGCCCAGCCTATGACACCAGAAGGTAAGTCCTCCTGTGCCTCAGTTTCCCTCATCACAAAACGAGGATACTGGTAAAAGCTACCTTCATGGATGCTGTTATGACTATGTCACAGTTTGCAGGGATGAATGGCTCTTCCCTCCCCTCTCCTGCCTGGGTAATTTCTTCTAATACATGTGAGTGAGTTCCTAGCCAGTGTTTTGAGAGACCCTACTGATGTCTTTGAACCCAGACACTCTACTGTCAGTTTCCTTTTCTGAGTCCTTATTTATAATGGTCACTATAGGAGCTACTTTGTATCTGAGTGTTTTATTTACCTTTTGGTCAGAGCCCTACTGTATCAGTTACTTTTCTGTTGTGATAAGACACCACGACCAGAAGCAACGTAAGGAAGAATTTATTTTGACTTATGGTTCCAGCTGGTAGAGTCTATCATGGTGGGGAGGCATGGCATGGCGTGGTGGCAGGAGGCTGGCTGATTGTATTTTGTACACAAACAGAGGAAGCAGAAAAAGGAAGCAGGAAATAAGCCAGTCTTCAAACCCTCAAACCCCGCCCCCAGCAATGTTGTATTTCCTTCGGCAAGGCTCCGCCTCCTAAAGTTCTATAACCTCCCCAAACAGTGCTCCCCCAAACACGCGGGCACCAAGTGCCCAAATAGATGAGCCTATGGGGGGTATTACCTGTTCAAACCATGCCACCTGCCTTTCTCCCTAGAGCATCAGCCCTGGGAGCACAGGGATGGTGCTCACTTTTTCTTTCCTCATTATCCCTTGGGCCTAATAGAATGGCCAGAGCCCAAGAGGGTCCCTATAAACATTTACTCACAGAAGAAGAAGGCTGTGGGATGCTCCAGGATAGACCCTATTCATGGCAGTGTTTTCCTAAGTAACCACTAACGGTGATCAACTAGGTCAGTGGACACACCTTGGTGAGGAGCAGCTGAGCTGGGTGCTTGCTCTCAGTTCAGTGGTTGCCATGCTGGGCAGGAGGGCTCACACTGAGTAAGGCAGGAGGTGTGGAAAGGATGCATCAGGTACAGGCCTAGCTTTGACGCCTGCTTCTCTACTGGCTGCTGTATGCCCTGTCAGGTCACCTAAGCTCCACAGCGCATTTCCTTGTCTGTAAATGCCACCACAGTTCCAGCATAGCTACGTCTTGTTAAGTAGGTACTGAACCTGTAAGAATTTTTAGAATTATTTATTTTATTTATATTTATGTGACTCTGTCTGTGTGATTATATGCCACATGTGTACAGGTGCCCACAGAGGTCAGAAGAGTATCAGATACCCTGGAGCTGGAGTTACAGGCAGTTGTGAACTGCCTGACGTAGGTGCTAGGAACCAGACTTGGGTCCTCTGGAAGAATACACACTCAATCACTGAGCCATCTCTCCAGGTCCATGTAAGAATTTTAAAAACTACATTTACTTATTTATTTCTGTGCGTGAGTGCATGTGTGTGTGCACATGCCTGAGTGCACACACAGAGGACACCCTTACTGGCTTGCCATGTCATCTGTTTCCTATAAGAGTTTCAGTTTACCTTAAGCATATTGTATAATTATCTATAGGCCCATAAAAACCATATAGCTTGCCCCGACATGTAAGCACAGAGACATCCTGTGATATCTGCCCCCCATCCAAGAAGAAAAGGTATCCTTGTACCTTTGCTCATTAAGTGAAAGCCAGCAGCGTGAACCCAAGTGACGTGGAAAATATAGTCCCAGGTGTGTGCCAGGTCAGAGGCAGTACTCGGGCTGGCCAGGAAGTTAGGATCAGAGTTTGCAGGAGATCATCTCCGGGAGACAAGAACAGAAGGGAGCCTTCAGCCCTGACAAGAGAGCCCTGCCCAGATGGCAGCTGGATGCAGGTAACTTGGCCCTTGTGAGCTTGTATAGATGCTTTTGGGGGTGAGACTAGTGTCTTGCTGAGTAATCACTAACAGAAATTAAGAGAGTTGAGTCAGAGAAGGTGCACCTGGCAAGGTGAAGCCTCAGGGTTCCTGTCTGCCTATCATCTATCTATCATCTATCTATCTACCTATCAATCATCTATCTTCTATCATCTATCTCTATCTATCATCTATTTATCTATCTCTATCTATCATCTATCTATCTATCTATCTATCATCTATCTTCTATCATCTATCTACCTATCTATCTTCTATTTATCTAATCTATCATCTATCTCTATCTTCTATCATCTGCCTATCATCTATCTATCATCATCATCTATCATCTATCTCTATGTATCTATCATCTATGTATCTATCATCTATCTCTATCTTCTATCATCTATCTATCTCTATCTATCATCTATCTATGTAATCTATCTATCTATCTATCTATCTATCTATCTATCCATAATCATCTATCTATCATCTATCATCTATCACCTATCTTCTATCATCTGTCTATCATCTATCTATTTACTATCTATCATCTATCTCTCCTATCTATCCATCCATTAATCCATCCATCCATCATCCATCTATCTATCTATCTATCTATCTATCTATCTATCAATCTATCTATCATCAATCATTATCTATCAATCATCTATTTAAAATCTGCTGAGTCTATTCCTTGATCATCACAAAGGATTCCCAAGAAGATGAGGCCTGCTTTAGACCTCTCTTTCTCAGCGCTCCATCCACTTAGGCCAGATCAGAGAACTATTAGGAGAGGAAGGAGCTTCAAGGTGCGGAGTCCGCAAAAGATGGGCATCGATTTTCCGAGCTCTTTTCTCGCTCTTCCCATTGACACGTGTGCGGCCCCTACTCCTGTGGTGAGCTCGGGAGGCTGTGAATGCGCTCCAGGAGCACCGCAGGGGTATGCTGTCCTTGGACTTGGCTTTGCCTCCGTTTGGAGAACTGTGAGAGCGAGTGGAGGGCTGGAATCCGTCGCCGAAGTGCTGGAAAGTGGCGGTAAGTGATGCTCCAGTATGTGGGTCCTGTGCGCTTGGTGTGCACCGGGGAGCGCCAGGCTTGAACTTGGCGACGTACGGGAGAGCAGAGGGAGTCCGCGAGGGACAGGCTCCCCCGGCCCCGCAGGGCGGCGTGTGGACGTGGTGAGCCGGCCGGGGCCGTCGGGCTGGAATCCGTCGCCGAAGTGCTGGAAAGTGGCGGTAAGTGATGCTCCAGTATGTGGGTCCTGTGCGCTTGGTGTGCACCGGGGAGCGCCAGGCTTGAACTTGGCGACGTACGGGAGAGCAGAGGGAGTCCGCGAGGGACAGGCTCCCCCGGCCCCGCAGGGCGGCGTGTGGACGTGGTGAGCCGGCCGGGGCCGTCGCCCGCCCTCCGGCTCCCGTGGGCCGGCCGGGCCAATGAGCGG